ATGCCCTCTTTATGAAACGGCTGTATATGGCCACTCGCAAGACTCTCATCTGGATGGCCCGTGCACATACCAAGTAGATGTCTGAAACGGTTGCCCCAGGTCAGGATCGTTTTGAGCAACGACGAAAGGCTCGTGCCTCGGCCGCCGCTCGTGCGGTTGCTCCGCCTGACCCAGGGCTCCTGCATGTGTTTTATCCGCGCAGCAATGGATGGCGTTGCGCCTCATGCTCCAAGACCTGTCGGTCTGACAAGCAGTGCAGGATATCCGCGCGTCGTCGTTGCCCTGCGAAGATATCTCTTTGTGCGAGGATCCTTCGCGCGGCGGGTGTTGTCTCGGGAAGTAGGGTCGGATCTCAGGAATGTGAGCCGAGCCTGTCTACCCCTGTTAGCGCGTCTGTTCTGCCTGAGGACGGTGGGGGGAGGGCTCGGACGTCGTCGCCGTCGTCGACGTTGGGGAGGAGTACCCTTCAGCAGGTTCGCGCCCGTAGGGCCTCGCCCCATCGCAAGAATGTGCGTGCCAGGCAGGGCGATGCGACCTTCCCCACTGATCTGACAGTTGACCTCCTGGCATCAGGGGGCTTTGAAGATTTGGATTCCATGATCGCTGAGGAGGCGGCGTTTCACGATGACTTGGGTTTGGGGGCTGAGTCGGGACCGTCGTTTGAGTCGTGGGAGTGGGGGACTCCTGGTCACGAGGTCGATCGAGCTCAGGCTGCGCAGCCTCGAGCTCCCTTCGTGTCGCAAGGTTTGTCACTCCCCACCTCTTCCTCCTCCGCTGCTCCTCCTGCTGCGACTGCGAGTCCTGCTCCTGCTCGTGCTCGTGCTCGCTCCTCCTCCCCCGATTTGAGAGTCGTTCGCGCTCGTTTTTCTGCCCTTCCCCCTCCTGACAGAGGGAGAGGGGTGAGCTTCGCCCCTGCTGGCGACGACGACCTGCAAGACGCTGTCCAAGCTGTGCAGGCGCGCCCTTCCCCCGCTGGGGGGGGACCCGCGCCGGAGTTTCGCCGACTTCTCGGACCTCGTGGAGGCTCGCGTCTTCCTAGCTCTCGCCCTCTCTCCCCCCTTCCCGTCTCTGGGGACGTTGGCCCCAGGCACGCTCGGGGGCATGAGTTGCGTGTCTCTCCTGGCAAGGTAGTCATTTGCCTCTCTTATGGGGCTATATCGACAGGGGGTGCGTCGGCATTGTTGGATGCTTGCCCCCCGCCTCCGTGTAGCAAGCGTGGAGCCTCTCACATTCATAGGTTCAACACGAACCGACACCCTTCGGACTTACGGCGGCGTGAGACCATCCTAGGGCAGAGAAGGCTTCAAGTTTCTGACTCCGAGGTGCATTGGCTGCAACTCGGATGATTAACTCGTTAATCGTTATAAGAGCTTCTAATCTTCCAAGCTCACCTTGCGCTCCGACCCCCTCCCTGCCGTGATTCTTTGATGGGCATGTGGGTGGGGGTCGCTCCGAGCGCTGGACCTGGGCCATGGACTCGGGTCCGCTTTCGAGTGGCCGTTGGCGCGCCGCGCGACGGATCCCTCTTCAGCCTGCGTACTCCCCTCCCCCTCCCCCTCTTCCTCCTCCTCCTCCTCCTTCTCCTCCTCCTCCTCATGCGGGGGCAGTCCAAAATCTCGGGGCTCCGTCACTCATATTTTGTCTCTCATTCGGATAAATTCGACCAATTGGTCGTCAGAGGCTCATGGATGCGTGCCACCTGGCCCCCCTTTGGGCAAGGGGACTGGCTGGGGTGGTTCTTGGCACCGTGTCTACACGATCCAGGTGGCCCGCCTTGTCGTCGTGGACGTTCCAGGGTCCCGATCTCAATGCGACGGAGACCTGGGCCGGCAGATGTGAGGGCGGGGTGTCGATGTCTGAGCTGAGGCTGCGCGGATGGACATGCTCGCGGCCGTCGGGCCTGCTGAAATAGGATGAACGTTCAGTCGTTCAGTCTCTTGAGTTTTATGGCAGCACGGAGGTACATAATTGACGTTGCTGTCGTGGTGGTGACTTGACAAGCTCCTTCTTTGTGTGAACGCTTTCGGCCGCATAACAAAGCTTCCCCTGCTCTGTTTGCGCCTGCTCTCCTTAACACGTGTGTCTAGGTGGTAATCCTAGTAATCCCCCTGTCCCTCCTCTTCCTGATGCTCCCTTTTCTTCTCCTCTCCCCTCCTTCCCTTCCCTTCCCTTCCCTTCCCTTCCCTTCTTCTTCTCCTCCTCCTCCTCCTCCTCATCTTCCCTCTCCGCCCCATTAATTATTATCCTTCTCCTTCTCCTCCCCCTCCGCCTACTGTTCCTGCGTACTCCTCTGTCTTCCTCCTCCCGTTTCCTCTCTCTTCCCTCATCCTTCTCATTATCCTTCTACTCCTCCTCCTCCTCCTCCTCCTCCTCCTCCTCCTCCTCCTCCTCCTCCTCCTCCTCCTCCTCCTCCCCCTCTGCTCCTCATTGTTCTCTGTGCCAGAATTCAGTGGTCTTGAAGTCTTCCTGATTACCAAGTAGCAGTCTGCGCGTTTGGATGCTACAGTCGTTTTTTTTGCTCGCGTGGCGATGCGAGGACGAGAAGGCCAGACAACAGAGTATGGCATAACGCTGACACTCATTTCAAAGGCGGTGCTAAAACATTGGCGGATGTGTGAGACATCGATAGAGTTGGGGACTCGTCGCTTGAATCTACTCAAGTCCTGGTCCAGGTGCCCGTCTAGCCTTCTGCAGCGGCTCTCGGCCTTATTCGGTCAGGTCCGCTTGGTATCTGGGCCAGCTCAGCTCGTGGATGGATACCTTACTCCGAGAGTCTCACCGTGGGCCCGCCGTGTTGTTGAGGATCTCCGCGGATAGGCCTGGGCTGATCGCGGACTGGTTTGAGTTGTTATGGGGTTCTGAGGTTCGACCCGAGTTTGACAAAATCGATGTCATGGCTATCAGAACGTGTTTCCATGGAACCCGTCTTGCGCCTCCCGCGTTTACCAGCCAGGATGTTTGAGACCTTGATGGGCCGCCTTGTCAGGATTTTGTTTGAGACCGTATCGGACCCCTCTGGAATCCTTGGAGCATCCGACGGGAGATGAGTTTCAACGCCTGCTTGAGGATTGCAGGGGGTGTATTTGCTGTCAGGAGGTCCTCTGGAAAAAACGCGTGTAGCTCGTTCTTGCAGATTCAGGAGTGATCTTGGGCCGTCTTGGAGCGTCGAAGAGCCGGAAAGGCGAGAACGCCCAAATCCTCCACAAACCTAAGGAACAATGATTTTTGCCTCTTGGTGCCTTCTTGCTTGGGAGGCCTCCTGGAGGCCCCTTGGGGCGTCTTGGAGGCCTCTTGGGCCATCTTGACGCCATCTTGGGCGTCTTTGAACGACCTTTCGGCGACTCGGGGCCCTCTAGGACCGTCTTGGTGGCCTCGTGGGGTCCTCTTGGCCCGTCTTCGGGCCCTTTGGGCACGAAAAAGTCATGCGGGAGGGTAACCCAGAGCCAAGGGGGGCACGCGGGAAACTCAAAGAGATTTGAGAATTTGGCGTCCAGGCCCTTGAAGCCCCTCATGACTGAGGACTGGGGCTCCGGGGCTCCGGCAGAGGACCTGAAGACACGCCCAGTCCGTGCCCAGCGACACGGTGGCGGACGTTGCACTGCTTTTTTCCTAGACGGGGGGGGGGGTAACGCAGGTGGACAGCCAGACGACCGAGAAGATCTCCTCGGCATGCCGCAGCTGCTCTTGAGCCCGGGGGCTTTCGAGGTTGCCGAGCACAGACACTGGACCGCCCCGCCCAAGGAAAAGGAGAGCTGGGAGTGAGCAGGGCAAAACACATGACAATGATAGGGCGACGATAGAGACGGGGAGGAGGAGGAGGAGGAGGAGGAGGAGGAGGAGGAGGAGGAGGAGGAGGAGGAGGGGGACGAGGAGGAGGAGGAGGAGATATGATCCGTAATTAGGTGGAGGGTGAGCATGGGGGTCGTCGTCGTCGTCGTCGTCGTCGTCGTCGTCGTCGTCGTGGCCGCGATGGCGCTGCGGGGCGAGGCCCGAAGTCTTGGCGGCTTGGCGCTGTCGAGCCATCTGCGGTGCGGGCCGGGCCCCTCCGCCTCGCCGCGGGGCTCGAGGGACCGAGGAAGGCCGAGGGGAGGGGCAACGTTGGTCGGCGGCGAGCGAGCGAGGGGCTCGACCTTAACTCATCTAAACTCGGCGGCGAGGGTTCGAGGTTGGAGGCCTTCGGGCGTTTTCGTCGGTTCTCGGCGGTTTTCCAGCCTCGGGATGCTCGCCAGCAACGGCGCCTCGCGGAGGGCGTTCAGGGGGTGCCCAGAATCGTTCCGAACGGCCGCCGCAGACCTGCATGACCCAGAAACCAAAGTCCACGGCGAGCGAGGGGGGGAAGTGAGAAGCAGAAGGCCGTCTCAGAAGGCCGCGGGGCTTCTCGGAAGCCCTCGCGCCTTCTGAGAAGTTTTCTGTGTCTTCGGGGAAGGCTTGGAGAACTTCTCAGAAGGCCGGGGGACTTCCGAGCAGTCTGAGAAGGCCCGCCCCTTCTACCTTCCCCCCTCGCTCGCCGCCGAGTTGGGGGGGGATGGACTCGAGGTTTTCAGGCGTTTGCGCTGGTTCTCGGTGGTCTTCAAGCCTCGGGACGCCTTTCAGCGGCTGCGCCTCGCCGAGAGGCGTACGGCGGTGCCTGGATCATCCCAAACTCAGGGGCGGATGCATCGGCCCTCAATTGCCCAATGATCGCCAATAGGGGTCCGACAGCCCACCCCGCCCAGGAGCGTGCGGATTCGCCCATCGGGGGCCTATTGCCGAGCAGTCGGCGATGTTTTGCCGATTCCAGGTCGATGTTCTGCCCCGCGTGCTCCTCTAACGTTGCCCCTCACGGGGTCGGCTACACGTAAGAGTGGCCCTTTGCCGAAGCGACCTTTGGTCAGGAACTTACTGTCCCTTCTCCCGTCTCCTCCTTCTCATCCTCGCTCCCCCTCGCCGCCCCGGCGACGGAGGAGAGAGTTCATGAGTAAGCAATCGAAGATCTCCGCTCAAGCGTTGCCTCTGCGACAATGCTTCGCAGCTCGTCGGACGTGAGACAGCAGAGATCTCAGTCGGGCACCTCCTCTTTCGTAGCCAGCGTTAACAGATGTGGGAGCACCAAGCAGTGGAGTGCAGCACTGCAGCTGTTCCGAGGGGTGTCGCAGCTGCGAGCTCAAGCCAGCATTGTTCTCTACAGCGTTGTCGTCAACGCATGTGGAAAAGGTGGGCAGTGGCAAAATGCGCTCTCACTGCTCTGCGAAGCACTCGAGGTGGGGTTGCAGCCAGACGTAGTCTTTTTCAACGGTGGAATCAGCGCGTGCGAGAAATGCGGGAGGTGGGAGCAGGCGTTGGGGCTCCTCGGCGATCTGCGGGACGCGCACTTGGAACCAGACGTCGTCAGCTACAGCGCCGGAATGAGCGCTTGCGAAAAAGGTCAGCAGTGGCAGCGTGCGTTGTCGCTGCTGAGGGAGCTGATGGCAGCGACGTTGGAGCCCAACGCTGTCAGCTACAGCGCCGCAATGAGCGCGTGCGAGAAAGGTGGATGTTGGCATCTGGCGTTGTCACTGCTCAGCGAGTTGTGGCAGGCAAAAATAGAGGCAGATACTATCAGCTACAGTGCTGGCATCAGCGCGTGCGAGAAAGGAGGTCAGTGGCAGTGGGCACTCTCGTTGCTGAAAGAGCTGTGGGATACAGAATTGGAGCCAGACGTCATCAGCTGCAACGCTGCAATCAGCACGTGCGAAAAAAGTGGACAGTGGCAGCGCGCGCTGTCGTTGTTCAGCGATCTGCGGGAGGCGATGCTGAAGCCCAGTGTCGTCACGTTCGGCGCCGGAATCAGTGCGTGCGAGAAAGGCTCGCAGTGGCAGCAGGCATTGATCTTGCTTGGCGAGTTAGGGGATGCCAAAGTAGAGCCTAATGTCATCGTCTACGGTGCGACAATCAGCGCGTGCGAGAAAGGCGGGCAATGGCAGCACGCGTTGACTTTGATGGGCGAGCAAAGGGAGGGAAGATTGGAGCCCGACGTCAGCTGTCCTCGCCCCCCCGTGTCGATCTCCCGAAGCCAGACATCACTCAAGGTGGGGCGATTCGCGCGGCGGACAAGAAAAACGGGCTGACGCCGTCGAGGCGGGAACCCGCCGTGCAAAAGGCGAGCGCGAACGGCGATCTACAGCGCATACAGTCAAAAGCCCTAACCAGGACGCGCGACTTTGCTCAGGATACCCTTGCGTCCTTGCTCTTCCTTGCTCTTGCGTCCTTGAGGGTTTCGTCGTCCGCCGCTTCAAAAATCCCAACTTCGGCTTCCAAGGGTCTTGCGTCCTTACCGCGCGTCCTTATTAGGTTTTTTGATTGTACGAAAGGCGAGCGCGAACGGCGATCTACAGCGCATGGGCGCATCGAATAAGGAGCCAGCTTGCCGGCGGGTGCCCCCGGACATTTCTCGACCCTCGACGGAATGTCTCGTCGTGTGCTTGGCGAAGGATCTGCCCCCGGGCAGGCGCACAGTCTGATCTCAGCTTCCCAGACCTCTCCGCCGGTGCTTTGATGGCACACCACCGCACGGAGTGTACGTCCTCCTCTTCCTCCTCCTCCTTCTCCTCCATCTCCTCCTCCTCCTCCTCATGCAAGAGGATGCAGCGAGACTGGGCTACGGGCTTCCCACAGCCGTCGATGCCACGAGAACCCATGAGGGACCGCTCCGCGATTGCCCAGACCCCTCCCAGGCCACTCGCAGACAGCCTCCGGCCCCGGAGCCCAGAGCCTGCGGTAAACCTGGGAGCCTGTCGGTCCCGAACGCGCTCGTGTCGCTTGCGATCGACGGCGCGAGGAGGAGGAGGAGGAGGAGGAGGAGGAGGAGGAGGAGGAGGAAGGAGGCGGAGGAGGAGGAGGAGGAGGAGAAGGAGGAAGAGGAGGAGGACGACGAGGAGGACGACGAGGAGGACGAGTGCGCGTTCGGGGCCAACACCTGGACCTGCCTGCCCTGGGTTTTTCCACGGGTGCACACTAGACTGTACTCCCCTTGGCGCGTGCGAAGGGGGCCAGAAGGTCGCGAGATGCCCCCAAGCGCCAGGAGCGCCCCGCCGCTCTCGGACGGCTCCAGAAAGCTCCCAGGTGGCTCCAAGACGGCCTCAGGCAGCCCCACTACCGCTCCGAGACGCTTGGGATGGCGGGAGGACGTTCCAAGAGAATCCGAACAAAGCTCCATGACAGCCCAAGACGGCCCGACGACTGGCCCAACGCATCCGAAGACGGCCCAACCCGACCCCGATGACGGTCCCCCGAGGCCAGAAATTATCAATGTTCGGCAGGTTTTTGAAGGGCTTCCGTGTTCTCGCCATTTCAGCTCTAGAACGCTCCATACGAGCTTTCACCCAGCCCTAGACGGCTCCAGGGTCATCCCAGATCGCCCCAAGACGCTCCAGGAGGCCCCGCCAAGTACCCCAAGACGGCCCTAGAGGCCCGAACATTGCCCAAGAGAAGCACAATACAGCCTTATACAGCTCCCGGTGGCCCCCCAAGATAGCCCCAAGAGGAACCTAGGAGCTGCCCAACAGGCACCACAGCTAGCTCCAAGACGGCCCGAGACCCCCTAACACGGGGACGGCCCAAGAGGGCCCAGGAGGACCCCGACGACGGCCCCACGAGGCGAAACAATAACCTAAAGCAATGCATTTTTCCCCACACGCTTCGTGGGGTTCTGGTTTTCTTCCTCGCCGCGCCGAACCCGCGACACTCACACCTCACCTCTCTCTCCTTCTCACACAGCGCAGCACAGCACAGCACAGCACAGCATAGCACAGCTCAACGCAGCACAGCACAGCACAGCACAGCACAGCACAGCATAGCACAGCTCAACGCAGCACAGCTCAACGCAGCACAGCACAGCACAGCACAGCGCAGCACACCACAGCACAGCACAGCTCAGGACAGCTCAGCCCAGCTCGGCACCGCACAGCACATCACAGCACAGCTCAGCACAGCATAACACACAGGGCAGGCGCGCAGGGCACGGCACGGCAGAGCGTGGCAGGGGTGGCATTTTCTCGACACCAGAGAGGGTGCGCAGGAGGTGGTCCCTCAGTGCGGTCTCTATGCGTGCCAAGGTCGGAGAGCGTGGGAGGGGTGGCACTTTCTCGACACCAGAGAGGGTGCACATCCTCGACACCACAGGGGGCGCGCTGGGGGTGAGGTCGCTATCCGTTTCGGGCTCGCAAAGCGTGGCAGGCGTGGCACACCCTCGACACCACAGGGGGCGCGCTGGGGGTGGGGTCGCTATCCGTTTCGGGCTCGCAAAGCGTGGCAGGCGTGGCACATCCTCGACACCACAGGGGGCGCGCTCGGGGTGGGGTCGCTATCCGTTTCGGGCTCGCAAAGCGTGGCAGGCGTGGCACATCCTCGACACCACAGGGGGCGCGCAGGGTGGGGTCGCTATCCGTTTCGGGCTCGCAAAGCGTGGCAGGCGTGGCACATCCTCGACACCACAGGGGCGCGCTGGGGTCGCTATCCGTTTCGGGCTCGCAAAGCGTGGCAGGCGTGGCACATCCTCGACACCACAGGGGGCGCGCTGGGGGTGGGGTCGCTATCCGTTTCGGGCTCGCAAAGCGTGGCAGGCGTGGCACATCCTCGACACCACGCGCGCTCGCAAGCGCGCTGCGTGGGGTCGCTATCCGTTTCGGGCTCGCCGTGGCAGGCGTGGCACATCCTCGACACCACAGGGGGCGCGCTGGGCGCGTGGGGTCGCTATCCGTTTCGGGCTCGCAAAGCGTGGCAGGCGTGGCACATCCTCAACACCACAAGGGGGCTGGGGGTGGGGTCGCTATCCGTTTCGGGCTCGCAAAGCGTGGCAGGCGTGGCACATCCTCGACACCACAGGGGGGCGCGCTGGGTGTGGGGTCGCTATCCGTTTCGGGCTCGCAAAGCGTGGCAGGCGTGGCACACCCTTGACACCACAAGGGGGGCGCGCTGGTGGTGGTCGCTATCCGTTTCGGGCTCGCAAAGCGTGGCATGCGACGCACATCCTCGACACCACAGGGGGGCGCGCTGGGTGTGGGGTCGCTATCCGTTTCCGGCTCGCAAAGCGTGGCAGGCGTGGCACACCCTTGACACCACAAGGGGGGCGCGCTGGGGGTGGGGTCGCTATCCGTTTCGGGCTCGCAAAGCGTGGCAGGCGTGGCAATGTCTCGACACCAGAATTTTGCGCTGGCGAGACTTCGCGTCCCACGCAGAACTGTAGACACCTTGGTTCAAGCCGGCTCGGCGCGCTTGCGCTTTCACGCAGGCGTGCCCGTAGTACCTGCGTGTGGCAGTCACGCCGCCCAAAATTGCCATGGACGCGCTGCCACCCCCTTGTTTGGCGATGAAGAACGCAATGATTCAGATGGTTGGCAGGATTGCGCATATATGACAATGAAAAAGCAAACGCATAATATGCAAATTAAGTATGTGGGTTTCCTCGGTAGCGTAATCCAAGGTTTCCCACGTTCTCCCCATGACGGGCCCAGAACGGCCCCCCCCACACAGCTCCAGGTCTTTCTAAGAGCGCACCGAGATGGCCCAAGAGGGACTCACGAGCCCAAGACGGCCCCCGAGGACTCCGAAGACGGACCCAGGAGACCAGAAGTCAAGCAAGAATTGTGTGTGCTTCCCATGTTCCCCACATTCTCGCCATGACTCATGACGGGCTCAGAAGGGCCCCGCGCAGCTTCAGGCATTCTCGCGATCGCCCCACGATTGCCTAAAATGCGTCAGCGAGCGCGCCAAGACGGCCCAAGAGGGCTCCAAGCGGGCCCAAGGTAGGCCCCCGACGGCCTACTGGAGTCTCAGGTGGCCCCCCAAAACGCACCAGGAGCTGCCCAGGAGGGCCCACATTGGGTTCCCAAACGGCCTCCGTACGGCCCTCCATGAAATCCCCGACGAATGCTACAGCAGGGCAGGGGGGTCCGTTGTACAGTCAAAAACGCTAATAAGGACGCGCGACTTTGCTCAGGGTACCCTTGCGTCCTTGCTATTCCTTGCTCTTGCGTCCTCGAGGTTTTCGTCGTCCGCCGCCCCAAGAATGCCAACTTCGGCTCCCAAGGGTCATGCGTCCTTACCGCGCGTATTTACTAGGGTTTTGCCTGTAGCATCCGTCGGCGGAGTTTTCTGAGGCCTCTTCCGGCCGTTTTGGATCTTTGTGGGGACGTTCGCGGGCACGGACGGCCCTTTTCTTGGCATCGCTCGGACGTGTGCATTTTTCCTCGGCGAGAACCATCGAGGACCATCCTGGATCATCGAGCACAAAAAACACGCACGAAACTGAAGAATGCACGGGAAATGGACGTCCGAGCGACGGCAAATTTTCGGAGAGGCCCACGAGCTTCTTTCGGGCCCCAGCACCACGAGATCCCTGCCTGGACCACTCCAAGATGGCGCAAACCTTCCCAGGATGTTCGACGACAGCCTCTGGCCCTGGTTTTTGAGCCTGCAGCAGACCATGCAGCTAACCTCAGAGATTCAAGGGGGACCCTTCGACAGCAACCTCACAGTACGCACGCACAGTAAGTTTCCCGGGCTGTCCCCGGGAAGAGGCTCTGGGGGACAGCCCGGGAACGGCCCCAGAAGCGCCCAAAAACCGCAACAGGCATTCAAGGCGCCCCAGGCAGGCTCGCAGGAGGGCCCAGCATGCCCCCGACACGGCCCCAGGGACGCCCGCGCTGTTCGACCTCGACGAGCTGTTCACCCACGGCGTGCGAGTCCCAGGTACAGTGCACCGTGGATTCAATCCACGGGTTCACGCTAGTCTCTAAGACGGTTCAGAGACGCTCAAGAGGATGTCCAAACGCCCCAAGAGGACCCCAAGCGAGCCCCGGGATGGCCCCAGAGGCCTCCAAGGCAGGCCAGGAGGCTCCCGAGACGGCCCAGGAGAACCCCCAGGAGGCAAACATCGTTTCATTCCCGTCGGAAACTGTACATGTCTACGTAGCCCCCAAGATCGCCCCAAGACGGCCCCAGATGCCCCCAGGAGGGTCCCTAAGCTGCCCGAGACGGCCCCGGGATGGCTCCAGAGGCGCCCGAGACAGCCCAAGAGGCACCCAAGACAGCCGAGCGGCCAATCAACGGCCCAAGATGGCCCCAAGACGGCCCCACGATGGCCCGAGAGGCGCCCAAGCCGGCCACACATCTCCCCAAGACGGCCCAAGAGGCACTCAAGACGTCCCAATAAGGCCCCGAGAGGTCCCCAGGAGGACGAAAAGAGGCCTCCAAGCAGCCCCCAAGAGGCCTTGGATGCTTCTCCCGTGGGGAGCGTCGAACTTCAGCGTCGTCTTGGGGGCCTCTTTGATCCTCTGGGAGCCATCTCTGGGCCTTCTGGGGACGTCTTGGGGCGGTGAGCTCGAAAGGACAATTCGTGTCCTCGCAGTGGGGCCCGTCTGGAGTTCGTGGGACCCTCTTGGGCCGTCTTTGAGGCCTCTTGGCCTGTCCTGGAGACCTTTTGGGCCGTCTCGGCGCCCTCTTGCGGGCCTGTTAGGCCGTCTAATTCCAGTCGAACGAACAGGAACATGCCCGCGCCCACTGGCCCCAGTCTCACCACACTACCAGATAAAATTATCACACGGCCCTGGCGAAGAGCAGATAAAATGATCACGGCGACCCGCCCCGCAGAAGCTATGATGAACACAACGGCGTAAGAAACAGCTTCTGTTTACCCATGTCGTGCCTACATGAGTGTGCTCGCGTTCCTGCCTCCAGGCCTATTTGCCTGCATCCCTCGCCCACCTCTCCCTCCAGCGGCCACCTCCTCCATCCACACCGTCCCCTCCAACCTTCCCCCCCCGCGAGGCACCCGACACGCTTCACTTCCACGTCCACGCCATGGCGGGCAGATTCCGCGGCCAGAAGGCCGCGGGTCAGCCCTAGTCTCGTCTCTATGGCGAACATCAGAGCGTGCCAGAAGGGCAAAACAGCGCATGTGAACCAATGCGCCCCCTGGAGGGCTATTTTTCGACACCCCTCACAAAGATCCTGGCCCCCGAGCGTCACAAATCGAGCCCTCCGCCCAAAGACGCGCCGAAGTGGCTATAAGAGGCTCCAAGGAGCGTCCACGAGGCCCCCTAGAGGCCCCCAACAAGGCCCAAGAGGCTTCCAAGAGCCTCCAACAGTCCTCCGAAGCATGCCCCCGGAGGCCAAAATCCTTCATTGTTCAATGGTTTTTGAAGGAGTTTTGCCTTTTCGCCTTCTCGGCTAGCCGACGCTCCAAGACGGCCGAAGAGACCCACAAGACCGCCCCAGGACGGCCCAACAGGCCTCCAAGTGCGTCCCCAGACGGCCCAGGGAGCCCCAAGATGGCCCAAGAGGCGCCCAAGACGGCCCCAGAGGACCCCAAGCCAGGCCCAAGAGAGGGGGCCAAAGAACGGGGAATAACCCTGACATTCCGAGCCCTGGGCGCCCACACGCCCACACAAGACCCCAATCCGAGCACAGTATATGACTACCACCACCAAGATCGAGAATCATCTACGATGCGATTTGGTGTAGTTTTGCTCTGGTGAAAGCCCGCAGTCCCCTCCCCGCCGCAAACGGCAAACGGGCTGCCCCTTCTCCCTTCAGGACCGAAGCAGAATTCATCAAAGCACGCGCGGTGGTGGTGTATAACATGTTGGTTACCAAGAGGTGCGATTTTTATACACCATCACCAAGAAGTGCTGTTTTTGCTCAAGGTACTCCCGATGCCGCGGCGCCTGCGAGCTGCGCCGCGCTCCTTTTCGCCATGGCGTCGCAGCGTCGTCTGGCATGACCCTGCCCCTAACCCTATTTGCGAAAAAATATTGTTGCGGGCGGTGGTGGTGTATGAAAATTGGCCTCGCACCCAAGACCCCCCCAAGGGAACACCAAGAGGTCCCCAGAGGCCCCCAACTCAGGACCCAGGACGCTCCGAGACGGCTCCGGGGGGCCCCAAAATGCCCCATAAACGGCCTCGGGATGGCTCTGAGAGGCTCCAAGGAGCGTCAAGAAGGCCTCAGAGCACCCTTGGGAGCCCCAAGACAGACCCAGAGGCCCCCAAGGCAGGCCAGGCGGCCAGAGAGCCCCAAGCCAAAATCGTCCCATTCCCTCCGGGAAACGCACATTTTCACTATGTCTTGTTTTTTCGTCCTCGCAGCGTCCAAGACGGCCATACAGGCCCCCCAGTTCGCCCAACGCGGCCCCACATCGCCCCGAGACGGCCCAATATGCATTCAAGACCGCCAAAGAGGGCTCCGAGAGACCCACCCCCAGGAGGACGAAAAGAGGCCCCCAAGCGGCCCCCGAGAGGCATCGGATGCTTCTCTCTTGGGGAGCGTAGAACTGCCAGCATCGTTTTGGAGGCTTCTTGGACCCTCTGGGAGCCATTTCTGCGCTGTTTGGGGACGTCTTGCGGCGGTGCGCTTGAAAGGTCGATTCGTGTCCTCGCACTGGGGCCCTTCTTAGGGAGTTCCGTCTCGCCGCCCTCTTGCGGGCCTCCTAGGCCGCGCCCATTGGCCCCATTGTCACCACATTGCCTGATGAAATTATCATTCATCCCTGGCGAAGAGCAGATAAACTTCTCAGGGCTACCTTCCCCGCAGAAGCTGTGATGAACACAGACTGCGGCGTCAGAAACAGCTTCTGTCCACACCATGTTATGCCTACGTGGGTGTGCTTCCACTGACACCGCCTCCACCACCGCGTTCCTGCCTTCAGGCCTGCTTGCCTGCATCCCTCGCCCACCTTCCTCTCCAGCGGCCACCTCCTGCATCCACGCCGTCCCCTCCAACCTCCCCTCAATGACCCGCGAGGCCCCAGAGACGCTCCACTTCCACTCCTCGCCAGGGCGGGCAAATTCCGCGGCCGGAGGCCGCGGGTCAGCCTTAGTCTCTACTACATTGCAGGGCCCAGTGCGTGCCAGAAGGGCGCAGGCCCCAATGCACCGAAACCGCCCCGGGCTGGCCCCGGGCCGCCCCGGGCCGCCCAGGCAGGCTCCAGGACATGTCGAGAGGGCCCCCAGAAGCCCCCAAGACGGCCCCGGAGAGCCCCGGCACGCTTAAAGATGGGCCCAAGACGCCCGAGATTCGCCCCAGACGGCCCAAGAGGCGTCCAAGACGCCCGAAGAGGCCTCCCAAGAGGGCCCCGAGCGACAGAAATCGTCGATTTCTATTGTGTTTTGCGATGTTTTCGGCCTCCTCGCCTCTTCGGCTTCCCGACGCTCCAAGACGGCCCAAGAAGTCCCCCCGACCGCTCCAAGACGGCCGAAGAGGACCACAAGAGAGCCCCAAGACGGGCAAGGAGGGCCCCAAGACGGTCCCAAGACGCCCCAGGACGGCCCCAGGACGGCCCAGGAGGCGCCCCAGACGGCCCAAGAGGCACCCAAGACGGCCCCAGGAGCGGCCCAAGACGGCCCAAGACAGCCCAAGAGGCGCCGAGGCGGGCCTCAGACGGCCCCAAGACGGCCCAAGAGGCACCCAAGACGGCCCGAGAGGGCCCTAGAGCCCCCCCGGGAGGCCCAAAAGAAGGCCGAAGAGGCTCCGAAACGGCCCCCACGAAGCCTTCAGTGGCTTCAGAATTCCCTCCAGGAGCGGGGGAGCGGACGAGAGGCGACAGGCATATCGCAGGCAAAAACGCCCCAAGAGATCCCCAAACGGCCCCCACGAAGCCCTAAGTGGCCTCAGAATTGCTTCCAGGAGGGGGGGAGCGGACGAGAGGCGACCGGCATATCGAAGGCACAAAAGAACAATGTTGGACGCTCCGAGGGCCTTCGATGTTTCTCTGTTGGGGAGAGTCGTCGTAGGATCGACGATTGCCTTTCGGCCCTGCAGCCGCACCCCCCCGCGCTTGCCCAGAGACCCCTCGCCACGTCGAGCTGATGTCGTGGACGGAGTCCACAGGTCTGCCCTAGTCAGCTACAGCGCTGTGATCAGCGCGTGCGAGAAGGGCGAGCAGTGGCAGCGGGCGCTGGCGGTGCTGAGCGAGATGTGGGAGGTGAAGTTGGAGCCCGACGTCATCTTTACTACATTGCAGGCACACGCGCGTGCGATAAGTACGCTGTCTTGCCAGCTCCTCCGTCGCCCCGGCGGGTGTCAACGGGCCTCTCTGCGGCGGCCTTGGGCCGCTCCAAGACGCCCAAGGAGAGCCCCAAGAACACCTCGCAAGACGGTCCCAGACGCTCCTCAGGCCCCTCCCAGACGCCTAAGGTAGCTGCAAGACTGTCCAAGAGACCCCCAAGACACTCCAAGAGTGCTCCACGAGGACCCGCACGAGGGCCCCAAGAAGCAATCATCGCTCCAAACCCTCAGTGGAATTGACAATATTCCCAAATCCGCTTTCTTCGTTTTAAAAGCGACCGAGACTGCTCGAAAGGCCTTCAATTTTGCCCCAAGACGGCCCCAGAGGCCCCAAGAGGGCCCCAAGACAGGCCAAGACGGCCCCAAGATGGCCGAAGATGCGTCCAAGACGGCCCCAGAGGGTCCCCAAATGCCCCGAAGAAACCCAAAAGAGGACCCGAGAGGCCCTGGACCAGCCCCCAAGAGGCTTCAAAGCTACCTCCAAGAGAGGGGGCCCGGCGCTCCCGACACGCCCCAGAGAGCTTCGCCTTCCACAGAAATCCAACAGAACAGCCCCTCCAACCTTCGAGGTTTCTTGTTGAATTCTTGTTCACTTTGAAGCCCTCTTGCAGTGCTTTGACTTTCTTCTCTGCCTCCTCCGCCTCCTCCTCCTCTTCCTCCTCCTCCTCCTCCTCCTTCTCCTCCTCGTCCTCTCTGTCCTCACCTTCTTATCTTACCCAGTGGCGTTGATACAGTTTAGAGTTGCCTCGTATCGCCCCACTCGGTGCTCCAGGCCTCCGCGTACAGCTCTCTGACGACTGTCGAGTGGATCGGCACTGACTGCGACGGTCGGACCGAAAAATAAGATCTGGGTCGGTTCGGGAAGGGTGCCCTACTATTCTTCCTGTGTGTCAGATGTTCTTGTGCATCCTGTGGGAGGGTACGCTCGAGGGATCTTATGGTTTGGGGTGTTTTGGCCAGCGAAGGGTCTGATGTTCTTGAACGATTTGATGTTCTTTCGTCCGAGGTCGGACCGTACTCTGTGCTGCCGCTGGTCGGAGATCGTCATCGGAAGACATATATTTGAAGGCCTCTTGGAGCCCTCCTGGGCTCCCCTGGGAGCGCCCTGCGAGATTCGCTGGCGATACCGGAGCCTTTCAGCAAGCCTTTCGGCCGCCCAATCAGGAACTTGAAGGGTCCCACGAGGGACTCCGATTTAGCGAACACCGTAACAAGAAGGCACGTCCGGCCCAACAGCGGTCTTATGGAAACTTTGTGAAATATCATGCCCTCTTGGAGCCCTCTTGGGCTCCCCCGGGAGCGCCTTGCGAGCTTCCCTGGCGATCCCAGAACATTTCTGGGCGATCCCAGAACATTTCAGCAAGCTTCTCGGCCGCCCAATCAGGAGCCCCTGAGGCGCCCCAGAAGGCTTCCAATGTGTCAAACATTTGAGAAGACGGCACGTCCGACCCAACATTAGCATGTTTTTCCTTCTGGGGGCGACAACGGGCGTCTCCGGTGGGGAGGGGGGAAGGGGGCCAGTGACGTCACGTTTCGCGTCGGCGGCGTCTGGGAATGCTTAGGAATGACCGAGGACGGGTCGGAGCAGCATGCAGGTGGCGATCTGCACCACAGCGCTTGTGTGAACCACAGTGCCTGCGTGCACCACAGCGCCTGTGTGCACCGCAGCGCCTGTGTATAGCACAGCAGCCGCGCGTAACACAGCGCCAGTGTGCACCACAGTGGCTGCGTGCACCACAGCGCTTGTGTACACCACAGCTCCTGAGTACACCACCTCAGCTTTGCGCAGCACATCACCAGTGTACGCCACAGTGCCTGCGTACACCACAGCGCCTGTGTACACCACAGCGCCTGCGTGCACCACAGTAACCGCGCGCAACAGAAAACCAATTTGTTGTTTTTGGAATGTTAGAAAGAATCCTCATGACAAAATGGACCGCCTGTGGATTCCACAAATCAAGCGTTGTATATCGGATTTGGGAGGGGATCCCTCTGGAAAAAGGAGCGCCTCTGGATTCTACGAGTCCGCCCGAGCCCTCCCACATCATCCTAACTCCTCCATCTGCGTCCTGAAGGCCCCCGCAGAGCTAGCCGTCCGAGAACCAAATGGACTGATTCAGTAAACAAATTTTCTGTGATGCGCACTGGGACGCGCACGTGCGCTGTAGCGCCGACCCGCACGACGGGGGGAAGGGTGAGGGAGGAGGAGGAGGAGGAGGAGGAGGAGGAGGAGGAGGAAGGAGGAGGGAAGAACATCGCATTCAATTATCAGAAAGAGCGTGTTCTACTGCTGCTGGCGGAAAACAGGGGGGTCACTGGGGGTTCCCAACCCATCCCCCCCCCCGCTCGAAAACGGGGGGGGGGGTCACTACCGGTTCGAACCCCTCCCCCCTCCCCAGTCCATCATGAAAAGGAGAGGGGTTACTACCAGTTCGAAGCCCCCCCCCCCCCGAAAATCGGGGGGGGGGGGGGTCACTACTGGTTCGAACCCCTCCCCCCCCCTCGCCGCCAGCAAACAATCCCCGCTCTTCGGGACAGTTGGACAATGGTGGGGATGCTGGGACAGTGGTGGGAACGGTGGTGGTGGGGACAGTGGTGCGGGGACAGTGGGACAGTGGTGCGGACACTAGTGGGGACGGTGGTGGTGGGGACAGCGGGACAGTGGTGGGGACAGTGGGACAGTGGTGGGGATGATAGTGGCGGGGACAGTGGTGAAGGCGGTGGTGAGGACAGTGGTGGGACAGTAGTACACTGGGGAAAGTGGTGGGGACAGTGGGACAGTGGGACAGTGATGGGGACAGTGGGGACGGTGGGACAGCACAGTGGGACAGCGGCGGGGACAGTGGGACAGTGGTGGGTACAGTGGAGACAGTGGGACAGTGGTGGGGACCGTGGGGAAAGTGGAGAGAGTGGGACCGTGGTGGGACAATGGTGGGGAGAGTGGGGACTGAGGCACTGGTGGGGGCACTGGTGGGGACAGCGGGGACAATGGTGGGAACAGTGGGGACAGTGGGACAGTGGTGGGGACGGTGGCGGTGGGGACAGTGGTGTGGGGACAGTGGGAATGTGGTGGAAACAGTTGGACAGTGGAGGGTACAGTGGTGGTAAGGACAGTGGTGAGGGCGGTGGCGAGGACGGCGGTGGGACAGTGGGACAGAGATACAGTGGGGACAGTGGTTGGGACAGTGGGGACAGTGGTGGGAACAGTGGGACAGCTCAGTGGGACAGCGGCGGGGACAGTGGGACAGTGGGACAGTGGTTGGGGCCGTGGAGAAAGTGTGAAGAGTGGAACCGTGGCGGGAACAGTGGTGGGGACAGTGGGGACAGTGCGACAGTGGTGGGGGCACTGTTGGGGACAGTGGGAACGGTGGTGGGCACGGTGGGGACAGTGGTGGTGAGGACAGTGGTGCTGGGGACAGCAGTGGGGGATGTGGTGCGGACGGTGGTAAGAGCCCACGAGTCGTGTGCTGGCGGTGAGCGTGGGGGGGGGGGAGGGGTTCGAACCCGTAGTGGCCGCCCCTCGGTTTTTTTGGGGGGGAGGAGGGGAGGGGTTCGAACCAGTAGTGACCCCCCCCGGTTTTCCGGAGGGGGGGGGGTTCGAACCGGTAGTGACCCCCCCCCCCCGGTTTTTAAGAGAAGGGGGGAGAGAGGGAGGGTTCGAACTGGTGGTGACCCTTCCCTGGTTTTCGAGGGGGGGGGTTCGAACCGGTAGTGACCCCCCCCAGTTTTCCGGAGGGGGGGGGGCCCGGGTGCCGGAGGAAGAGGGGAGGGGGAATGTTCCACAGTAAAGCGGCGGTGGATCACACTCTCTCAATTATCAGCGACCCCTCTTGCGTGGTGCTCAGCTGTCAGCAGCAGATCCTCACCGACATGTTTCTTCTTCCTGTCCTGTGCACGCAGGCGCTGTGGTGCACGCGGATGCTGTGGTGTACACAAGCGCTGTGGTGTGCACAGGCGCTGCGGTGCACGCAAGCATTGTGGTGTACACAGGCGCTGTGTTGCAGACGGCAGCTGCGCTGTACACATTCGCTGTGGTGTACACAGGCGTTTTGGTGCACGCAAGCACTGGTGTACACAGGCGCTGTGCGCGGCCCGCCGGCTTTGCAGTCGCGCTCGCGTCTGGCTGCGCGCGTGTTTTCGGTCTGCTACAACGCTGGGATCAGCGCGTGCGAGAAGGGCGGGCAGTGGCAGAGGGCGCTGTGGCTGCTGGGCGGGATGCTGGCGGCGGGCCTGCGGCCAGACGCCACCAGCTTCAACGCCGCGATCAGCGCGTGCGAGAAGGTGACGGGGGGGAACCCTGACTGGACGAACGAGGAGGGCGCTCCCCGGCGCTGAGCAGGGTCCTCCCCCTCGAGGAAAAGACCCAACCGAGGTCGCCCCCTCCTCCGTCCTAAGAATCGGGGGTGGACAGACCTCCTAACAGTGACACGTCGATTAGTGAATTGTCCGTTTTCGGTTCTCGAGAGGGCGCCGCGGCCGTTATTTTCCAGGCTTGCGCCCGCCAGGTTTGGGCCCGAGGTCGTTTTCACTAACCACGTTTTACTAAAGGGAGGTCTGTCCATCCCCGAAAGAAGCGAGAGCATGGATTAAGGCACGAGGATTCGCCACGGGTCCTGCTTCCGTGCAGGCTCGGCGCGCTCCGTCGCCAAATGCGGCGGCACTGCTGCCATGCCTCGGAGGGGTAGCGTCCCCGATCTGTGGATCTGGCACCCACGCGGCCAGATTCACCGCCCACCAAACCACCCCAACCCAACCCGAAGGCTCAAATTTATCCTCGATTTCCAGGGGGTGTCGGGGAACATTGAACAAGCACATGGAACTCGTACCCCCTCCAACCCGAAATTCTAGTCAAATTCGGGTCTTCGGGTTGGGTTGGGGTAGTCTGGTAGGTAGTCACAGATCCACGGATATCCGTAGTCCATGGCAGCGTGCGCCCGATCCTTGGCCTGGCGCGGGTTTCTCTGCTCCCCGGAAGGGGGGCGGGCAGTGGCAGCACGCGCTGTCGCTGCTCCGGGGACTGCGTGGGGCGCGGCTGCGGCCCGACGTCGTCAGCTACTGCGCCGCTGCAAGCGCGTTCGAGAAGAGCGACCAATGGGAGAGGACTTTGGCTCTGCTCAGGGAGGTGCGGGAAGCGCAGCTGGAGCCAGACGCGATGTTTCTACATCGGCGTTATTTGAGTTTCGCCACGAATTGAACTTTAATTTTCTTGCGCTGGCAGGGCAGAATCCCGCCCGGTGGGATTTCTAAATCCGTTTTTTTTCTTTCCGTTGGGATGTTGAAAAGCCGCTTAAGCTATATACGATTACATAACTGAAGGAAAACCCGGATTTAGAAATTCCCGGTCTTTGATCCCACCGCTCTATAGGAATCCAATGGGGAAAAGAGGGGCAGCTTGGCCGGGACAGGGGTCAACCTTCGCACGCTCGCTCACGCGGAAGTAACGGACGAAACCTGCATCATCTTGAAACTCTCATAGAACGTGGCGATTTTGTGCAACGGCGTAGCAGGGGGGAGAATCGCTCCCGCCCCCCTACAGACAAAGACGCTGACATGAGGACCATTTGGGGTTCAGTGGCTCGGACTTTCTCGGGTCGTTCCTCAGATCTAGGTCGGGGAACCCACTCGTGTCCGAGGCTCGCCGTGGCGGAAAAAGCCCTTGGTTTTCTTGTGCAGCGTTCCTTGTGGTACAGTCAGCCCGCATAGTAAGGATGGGCAACCTTCCCGAGGGTACCCTTGCATCCTTGCCCTTTCGGCCCATCCGTAGCGACTGTCGCTGGCCAACCTCGTTCGAAAAACACTCACGTGGCCCCTCAAGGCCCTTGCATCCTTCTATAAATCCTTACCGCGCGTCCTCATGATACGGTGTCGACTGCAGCAAGATGGCTGTAGTTGTCGTTTGCCACACAGCCCCAGGCGTTTCACGTGCTGAACGGTCCAGCCCTGCGCAATCTGATGCTACAGTCGGGGCCCTGAGGAAGGAACCCTTTTCGTTGGAGAGGGGCTCGGCGTTCCTTGATCGTTCTGCAGTTTACCTTCAGTTTTCCTGAGGGTTTTCCATGGGAAATCGAAGTTTAACTTTTGGGAAAAAGGGAACTCGTTCTTTATTTAGGGTTCCTTAGGTCAACGCCCCGACTGTAGCAGGGTGCCCCAGGTCTCCCGCCAGCGGCGCCTCGCGCGCGAAAGTGTTCAGGGCTTGGGCTCCCTGCAGGGCCCTCCTGCGGCCGCGCCCGCTCTGTGCTGCAGGGCCTTTCGGAGGCCTGGAAATGGGCACCAACACCAAGACAGGGGGCTGCCTCCACAAGGGGGGGGGGGGGGATAATCCTAAATTTTGGTGTTGGTGGTAACATTTCGGCCACCTTGTAAGCCAGAATATTACCACCATCGCCGAGATCGGGATTTTCTTCCCTCGGTGGAGGCACACCGCCGATATTGGTGTTGGTGTCAATCTCTAGGCCTGCGAGGCTTCGCTCCCAGGGGGGCTCATCATTCGGAAGTGCGTGTTCTGCCGCTGCTGGCAGAAACCGCGGGGGCTCACTGGGGGTTTCCAACCCGTCCCCCCCCCTCAAAAACCGGGAGGGGCCACTGGGGGTTCAACCCCCCCGGGCTCATCATGAAAGGGGGGGGGGGTCACTGCTGGTTCGAACCCCCATCCCCCCCTCCTCGCCGCCGGCAAGCGATTCCTCTTCCTCGCCCACTCCGGATGGGGGACTGGAGGGGAACGTGGTTGGGACGGTGTTGGTGGTGGGGAGTGGGGGCGGGACAGTGGGGACAGTGGGGAGAGTGGGACCGTGGTGGGGGTGCGACGGCGGTGGGGGCACTGGTGGGGACAGCGGGGACAATGATGGGAAGAGTGGGGACGGCGGGGACAGTGGGGACATTGGGACAGTGGTGGGGACGGTGGTGGTGGGGACAGTGGCGAGGGGACAGTGGGACAGTGGTGGGGACAGTGGGGACAATGGAACAGTGGTGGGGACGGGGGTGGTGGTGGGGACAGTGGTGATGGCGGTGGGGAGGACGGTGGTGGGACAATGGGACATTGGTACACTGGGGACAGTGGTGGGGACAGTGGGGACAGTGGCGGGAGCAGTGTTGACAGTGGGTCAGCACAGTGGGACAGCGGTGGTAGGGACAGTGGGGCAGTGGTGGGAACAGTGGGGACAGTGGGACAGCACAGTGGGACAGCGAAGGTGCACGAGCAGGTGCCTGTTGCGAAGGACGGAGGAGGATGAGGTGGTGGACGTCAAGGAGGATATGGGCGTGGAGGTGGATGTCCTCCTCGCGGCCTCCGGGTGTGACCCGCGGTTTTCCGCCGGGACACTGCAGCGGGGAGTCCCCATTCCACGCTGCTGCCGCTGATTTTGTTGTATTGTTTCGCTGTCGCCGTTTCTATTCATCTCGGAGACTCGAGCATATACATTACCAGTGGCAGACTGTTCTTCGATCCCAGGACTTTTTCGAGGGTCGGGGACGACGTCGGGGCGGTGCGGTGTATGCTCCTTCCCCGCTTTCCCCGGGAAGCGACGACAAATGTGTACACCAGGATCCCGCACACACCAGGATGCGCTTTCCAGTGCGAGTCTCAGTGCGGGGCGGGAAAGAAGCGTCGGTGTATAGAGCTCGGCTCCTTATCATGCCGCTGCACTTGTCGCCGTTGGTTTCTTCATTGTCTCGCCGATCGCCGCGGGCCCCTGGCCCCCCGCCTCTCCCTTCCACGGAGCATCTCCTGGCTGCTTTTGGCGGCTGGTTTCCGGCGGCTGGTCAGGGCCCCTTCCCCCCAGTCTGCTGGCACGGCAGGTAGAAGCAGATCGGCGAAGCACTGGCTGATTCCCAGATCCCCCCCCTCTCCCCCACCTTTCGGCCAAATATCGAAACCCAGAGCCAAACACCGCCCACCCGCTACACTTCCGTCGTTTTCGCAGTTCGGGGCCTCCTGGGAGGCCCTCGTCGCCACTGACGGATTCGCTTCGGAATGGCAGCCAGAAAGCACCTCTGCAGAGGTCCAGGGATTAGCAGTATCGGTACTTTTTGAAATCCCCAGTGCAGAGAAAAACGGTTGCTTTCTCGCAAAGTGCCGTCGGCGCCCGTCCGATTGCCAATTTGGTGCTGCTGCTGCTTTGTTAAGGGAGGTCAAACCAACCCGACCTTCATTGTGGCGTTTATTCGACGGCCTTGGGCGATCACTGAACAGCCCTGCCCTGTTCGAATTCTTTCTTGGGTGCGTTTACTCAGCGGCTTCGCTTGTCGGGGCGTTTATTTCGGAAGGGGCTAATTAGGAGGAGGACAACTCCGTTCCAGAGCGTTCTGGAACGCTCCCAGAGCGTTCGGGAACGCTCTGAGAAGGCTGCCGCGCCACTTCCAGATGTTTATCCTCGCCCTGGCTTCGGCTTGGTTTGCTGAAGGTGGTTGTTCTTCGGTGGCGAGCGTGGGAGGAAGTGAAAGCGAGAAGGCCTTCTCAGAAGGCGGCGGTGCTTCTCAGAAACCCTTTGGTTTTCCGAGAAGTTTGTGTGGCCCTCCAAGAGCGCCCCAAGAAAACCCAAGACGACCCAAGAAACGCTCAAGACGGCCAACGAGGGCCCGAAGACAGGCCCACGAGGAGGCCAAGAGGGGGACCACGGACCGAAAATCCGAGCCTTCCGCCCCAAGAGGGCGCCAGGACGCCCAAACAGGCCCCCAAGAGGCCCCAAGGGGCCGCCAAGAATCCCCCGAAGAGGCCCCAGGAGGCTCTCAAGGAACCCAAACGAGGCCCCAACAGAGGCCCCAACAGCTTCCAAAATGGCCCCAAAGAGGCCTCGAGCCCGCCTCCGAGCTTCCTCGCCGCGAGGGTGCCAACACGGCCCCAGACGGGCCCAGGACGGCCAAAGGCGCGCTCAAGACGGCCCAAGACGACTCCAAGACGGTCCCAGGAGGGTGGGCCCAGGACGGCCCAAGGACGCGCCCGGTCGGGGCCTCAAGACGGGCCAAGATGGCAAGAAAGCCCCAGCTGGCAAAAATCGTTCGGTTTCCATTGTTTACTGTTACACCCTGTGCGTTTCCCGCCATTTCGGCGGTCCGATGCACCAAGAGGCCCCAGAAAGTCCCAGGAGGGTCCGAGGAAACGCCCAGGAAGGCCCAAGACGGGCCAAGACGGACCCAGCACAACCCAAGGCGCGCTGCGACGGCTCAAGACGGTTCCAAAACAGCCCCAAGAGGGTGCCAACACGGCCCCCGCTGGGCCCAGGACGGCCCAAGGAGGGGCGCAAGACGACTCCAAGGCGGCCCCCTCACGGTCCCAGACGGCTCCAAGACAGCCCCACGATAGTGCCAACAAGGACCCCGATGGGCCCACGACGGCCTACGGACGCGCCCATGAGGGGCCCACGACGAACGAAGACGGCCCCATCACGGCAAACGGCGCCCTCAAGACGGGCCTAGACGGCTCCAAAACGGTCTTTTCAGGGAGCCAACGCGGCCCCACACTTTTCGGGCGAACACTTGGGGGGGGCTGGGAGCTTGCGACAAGTCTCCCACATTCATTGTCCTGCCCCATTCTGTTCGCCTGGAGGCCTCCTCCAACCCTGTGGGCGAACAAGAGGAAACCCAGCGGGCCGCCAACCCTGGGGCCCGTGGGCCCCGCGCCGCTTGGGCAGAAGACGAACGCCGGGTCTGACAGGCCAGCTACCGCCCCCCTTTGCCCGATATGCTGTGCCATTATGTTCCCCCAGGGGCCTTGGCAAACTCTTCGGGCCAACCAGACCGGACCCCTTGGACAGCAGCCAATTGATATGACCCAGGGACCTCTCCGCATTCTTCGGACGAGCACCTGGGGGGCCCAGGAGATTCGGACAAGTCTTCCCCATTCCTTGCCCTGTCCCGTTCTGTTCGCCCGAAGGCCTCCACAGACCCTCTGGGCGAACAGAATGGGACATGGCGAACAAACCCTCCCGTTGGCGGTGATGCGACTGGATCGCATCATCAAGGCGTGCCCAGAGGTGATGGCCGACCCAACAGCGGGTTTTTACCTAACAGCGAAGACTGATAGGTTTCTAGTGGGATCAAAAGAGAGCAGCAGATCACTCCACAGGGGGGTCCGGGCAGGTGTTGGGAGTTGCCGGGCGGCAGGTGCCGGGCTCGTTTTTCACCAACAGTCACACACTTCGTGCTCTTCGACTTCCCAGAACTCCATTCCCAGGCCACATTCTCAATACCCGGATGCAACAGTCACACACTTCGTGCTCTTCGAGATCCCAGAACGCCATTCCCGGGCCACATTTAGAATAACCGGATGCAACAGTCACACACTTCGTGCTCTTCGAGTTCCCAGAACTCCATTCCCGGGCCACATTTTGGATGCCCGGAGCCAACTGTAGGCCACTTCGTGCTCTTCGAGTTCCCAGAACTCCATTCCCGGGCCACATTTTGGATGCCCGGAGCCAACTGTAGGCCACTTCGTGCTCTTCGAGTTCCCAGAACTCCATTCCCGGGCCACATTTTGAATGCCCGGAGCCAACTGTAGGCCACTTCGTGTCTTCGAGTTCCCAGAACTCCATTCCCGGGCACATTTTGAATGCCCGGAGCCAACTGTAGGCCACTTCGTGTTCTTCGAGTTCCCAGAACTCCATTCCCGGGCCACATTTTGAATGCTGAGGCTGAGGCTGAGGCAGGCTGCTGAGGCTGAGGCAGGCTGAGGCTGAGGCTGCAGGCTGAGGCTGCAGGCTGAGGCTGAGGCTGAGGCAGGCTGAGGCTGAGGCTGAGGCAGGCTGATGCTGAGGCAGGCTGAGGCTGAGGCTGAGGCTGATGCAGGCTGAGGCAGAGGCAGCCTGAGGCTGACACCGAGGCTGAAGGCAGACTGAGGCTGAGGCTGAAGCAGGCTGAGGCTGAGGCTGAGGCAGGCTGAGGCTGAGGCAGGCTGAGGCTGAGGCTGAGGCAGGCTGAGGCAGAGGCTGTGACTGTGACTGCCGTTGCCACTGCGACTGTCATCGCGAATGCGACTACGACTGCGAGAACAGCAGAATTCTACAACTGGATTCTCATCCGAATCTTAAGGGGAATGCTTCCAGATATGCTCCTACACATCGCTGTTAGGTTGCTTTGCCGGGATAATCTAAAGATTTTACAGAATTTCAAATTTTCTTGAAGCTCTCTTGGGCCCTCCCTGTAGATCCTTGCGAGCCTCCCCGGCGCTTTCGGTGGCTTTCCCCGATGGCCTCCCGAGCCCTTCCCCAGGCGCTCTTGAGACGCCTCAGATGGGCTTCGACTTCGACGCACATCCCCGAGAGACTTCGAAACTGCGCCCTCAATAGGAGGGGGGTGAACGAGCAGTGCGCTGGGCCAAGCTGCTGGAGCGCTGCAAGAGCTCGGACACGCTGCCGCCGCCCGAGCCGCCGCCGTGTTTGTAGATTTTCGGTGCAATCTGCGCCATTCCTCCGAGAACCATTCCAGAAAGATGTCGTGGACGGAGTCCACGGGTCAGCCCTAGTCATCTACAGTGCTGGGATCAGCGCGTGCGAGAAGTGCGAGCAATAGCGGTAGACTCCGTCGCCGTTCGAGGAGAAGGAGGACGAGGCCGCCCTTTGGGCGAGCGACAGGGTTGGGAGGGAGGGGGAGGGGGAGGGGGAGGGGGAGAAGGAGGGAGGAGGAGGAGGAGGAGGAGGAGGAGGAGGACGAGGACGAGGACGAGGAGGAGATCAATCTAGAATGTTCCTAGGACCTGGATCCCAGCGGGGGGCACTTCCTCCCAGGGGCGTCTCGGGGGAAGGGGGGGAGAGGGTCCGGGAGCTCCGCAGGCGCCCTCCAGGCCTCCGAGGCGTCCCGAGAACGTTCCAGGTGCGCCCCCAGAGCGACAAAGCGGGCCGGATGCACTTCAGGGCGCGTGCACGATGGCCGCCGACGCTCCCCGCGCGGCCCCACAGAGATCTACGAGGGCCTCTCGGGCCCCAGAAAGGGCAAACATCCTGTTCCGTTGCCGTTTAAGCCCAAGTAGTTTTGGCTCAAGCTTCAATGTGTGCTGCACTGGTGCTGAAACTACAGTTGTCCTATCAATCATTGTTTGCCGTACATCTCGTTAATTTTATTTAAGACGCCTACGGCGAATCACCGCCGCTCCCTGCCTTATGGAATCGTCCATGTGGCCGAGCATTGTGGCAAGAGCTCTGCCAAGATATCGGATCATGTACTCCTCCAACCGTTGTGGAAACCCTTCGGTATACATTTGGGGGAGGATGTCGGGGAAGATCAGGAAGAGGAGCAGGAGGAGGAGGAGGAGGAGGAAGAGGAGGTGGAGGAAGCATCTTGGGAGCCTCTGGGAGCACTCTTGGGGCCTCCTGGGAGCTTCTCGGGGGCCTCTCTGGCAGCCTTAGGTCAGTCCTGGCCCGTCTGACGTCGTCGGAAGCCGTGTTGGGGGCGCTTCTGGGCCGTCTTTGAGGCCCTTTTGGGGTGCTCTAGGGCCGTCTTGGTGGCCATCTAGGGCGTCTTGGATGCCTCTTGGGCCGTCTTGGGGCCCTCTTGGGGCCGTCTTGGGGGCCTATTGGGCCGTTCTGGGGTCATCTTGGAGGCCTCTTAGGTAATCTTGGGGCGATATTTGGAAGCTCTGGTGCCGACTCGGGCCGTCGGAAGACCGAAAAGACGCAAATGCCATAATCCTTCGAACACCTATGGACAATCAAGTATTTGGGCCTCTTCGGGCCTGCCTGGAGTGCCTCTTGGAGGCCTCGTGGGCCTTCTTGAAGGCCTCTTCGGTGCCTCTTGGGCCATCTTGGGCCATTTTCGAATCCGAAACATCTTGGGCCGTATTGGTGCCCTCCTGGCCCGTCTGACGCCGTCGGAAGCCGTCTTGGGGGCGCTTCTGGGCCGTCTTTGAGGCCCTCTGTGGGTGCTCTAGGGCCGTCTTGGAAGCCATCTAGGACGTCTTGGAGGCCTCTTGGGCCCTCTTGGGGCCGTCTTGGGGGCCTCTTGGGCCGTTCTGGGGTCACCTTGGAGGCCTCTTAGGTAATCTTGGGGCGATATTTGGGAGCTCTTGGGCCGACTCGGGCCGTCGGAAGACCGAACACAAAGCAAATGCCGCAATCCTCAAACACCCAGGGACAATCAAGTATTTGGGCCTCTTCGGGCCCTCCTGGAGGCCCTCTTTGGGGCCTCTTAGGCCCTTGAAAACCTCTTCGGGGCCTCTTGGGCCATCTTGGGCCATCTTCGAATCATCTTGGGCCGTATTGGTGCCCTCCTGGCCCGTCTGACGCTGTCGGAAGCCGTCTTGGGGGCGCTTCAGGGTGCTCTAGGGCCGTCTTGGTGGCCATCTATGACGTCTTGGAGGCCTCTTGGGCCGTCTTGGGGCCCTCTTGGGGCCGTCTTGGGGGCCTCTTGGGCCGTTCTGGGGTCATCTTGGGGGCCTCTTAGGTAATCTTGGGGCGATATTTGGGAGCTCTTGGGCCGACTCGGGCCGTCGGAAGACCGAAACGAACACCTAAGGACAATCAAGTATTTAGGCCTCTTTGGGCCTGCCAGGAGTACATCTTGGAGGCCTCTTGGGCCGTCTTGAAGGCCTCTTGGGCCGTCTTGGAGGCCTCTTAGATGCTTGTGGGGCCGTCTTGGAGGCTGCTGGGGCGCACTTGGATGCGTATTGGACTCTCTTGGGCCGTCTTCGAGGCCATCTTGGACCATCTTGGGCGAACTTGGAGGCCATCTCGGGCCATCTGAGCCGTCTGAGATGCCACCTCGGGCCATTTTGGAGCGGGAAAGAAGGCATTGACAGACAGATCTTGGGGTCCCTTTCGGGTGGCTGGCGGGATCGGCCGAAGCCCCAGGGGGGGTTCTGGTGGAAAAGAACCACGGTAAGGTCTGGCACGCCAGGCACCCTTGTGATGAATCAACAGGGGGTGGCGGATGACGGAAAGAGCGTTCACGCGGTTCCGTTCTTGGTAGGGCGTCACCCCAAGGGGGGGGGGCCTCTTGGGCCGTCTTGGGCCCTCTTGGAAGTCTTTTAGACTGTCTTGGGGCCCTCTTGGGCCGTCTTGGGACCTTGTGGGACGTCTTGGGGCCTCTTCGAGGCCTTTGGCCGTCTTTCGCCGACGAAAGTCGGTACCAATCGTTGCAAAATCTCTTTTCAGGCCGTCTCGCCTTCCTCTTGAGGGTTCGTTTTCACATCCTTTTGCTTGTCCCTGCCTCCTGGGCTCGACGATGATCGAAGACACCCCCAAGACGGCCTAAGATGGCTCAAAGGCGGTCGAAGAAGCCCCCAAGACGCCCCAAGAGACCTCAAAGAGGCCTCCCAGAGGGCCCGATGAGACAAACTTAGATTACTTATGTATTGTTACCTAACAGCGAAGACTGATAGGTTTCTAGTGGTCTCAAAAGAGCTCACAGATCACTCCACAGGGGGGTCTGGGCAGGTGTTGGGGAGTTGCCGGGCGGCAGGGTGCCGGGCTCGTTTTTCACCAACAGTCACACACTTCGTGCTCTTCGACTTCCCAGAACTCCATTCCCAGGCCACATTCTGAATACCCGGATGCAACAGTCACACACTTCGTGCTCTTCGAGATCCCAGAACGCCATTCCCGGGCCACATTTAGAATAACCAGATGCAACAGTCACACACTTCGTGCTCTTCGACATCCCAGAACGCCATTCCCGGGCCACATTCTGGAGGGCCGGATGCAACAGTCACACACTTCGTGCTCTTCGAGTTCTCAGAACTCCTCCCGGGCCACATTTTGGATGCCCGGAGCCAACTGTAGGCCACTTCGTGTTCCCAGAACTCCATTCCCGGGCCACATTTTGATGCCCGGAGCCAACTGTAGGCCACTTCGTGCTCTTCGAGTTCCCAGAACTCCATTCCCGGGCCACATTTTGATGCCCGGAGCCAACTGTAGGCCACTTCGTGCTCTTCGAGTTCCCAGAACTCCATTCCCGGGCCACATTTTGAATGCCCGTAGCCAACTGTAGGCAACTTCGTGCTCTTCGACTTCCCAGAACTCCCATTCCTGGGCCACATTTTCAGCAGGGGCAAGAGCACGACGAGGAGGAGGACGAGCAAGACCAGGAGGACGAGGACGAGCAGGAGCAGGACGAGGAGCAGGAGGAGCAGGAGAAGAAGGACGAGCAGGAGGAGGAGGAGGACGAGCAGGAGGAGGAGGACGACCAGGAGGAGGAGGACGACCAGGAAGAGGAGGAGGAGGAGGAGGAGGAGGGGAGGGGAGAGTACCAGGAGGAGGAGGAGGATGTGGGAGGATGAGGAGGAGAGGAGTGGAAGAGGAGGAAGGAGGAGGAGATGAGGACGATGCCGAGGAGAGGAGGAGGAGGGTGGGGGAGAGTACCAGGAGGAGGAGAACGAGGACCACCAGGAGGAGGAGGAGGAGGAGGAGGAGGAGGAGGAGGAGGAGAGAACACCAGGAGGAGGAGGACGAGCAAGACGAGGAGGACGAGAACGAGGACGACCAGGAAGAGGAGGAGGAGGAGGAGGAGGGGAGGGGGAGGACTACCAGGAGGAGGAGGAGGAGGAGGAGGAGGAGGAGGAGGAAGAGGAGGAGGAGGAGGACGAGGAGGAGGAGGAGGAGGAGGACGAGGAGGAGGGGGGGGGAGAGCACCAGGAGGAGGAGAACGAGGACCACCAGGAGGAGGAGGAGGAGGAGGAGGAGGAGGAGGAGAGAGCACCAGGAGGAGGAGGACGAGCAAGACGAGGAGGACGAGAACGAGGACGAGCAGGAGGAAGAGGAGGAGGAGGAGGAGGAGGAGGAGAGGAGCAGGAGAAAGAGCAGGAGGAGGAGGAGGCAGGCTGAGGCTGAGGCTGTGACTGCGACTGCCGTTGCCGCTGCGACTGTCATCGCGAATGCTACTACGACTGCGAGAACAGCAGAATTCGACAACTGGATTTTCGTCTGAATCTTAAGGGGAATGCTTTCAGATAGGCTTCTACACATCGCTGTTAGGTTGCTTTGCCGGGATAATTTTTTACCTGACAGCGAAGACTGATAGGTTTCTAGTAGTCTCAAAAGAGCTCACAGATCACTCCACAGGGGGGTCCGGGCAGGTGTTGGGAGTTGCCGGGCGGGCTGTGCCCACCTCGTTTTTCACCAACAGTCACCACTTCGTGGTCTTCGAGTTCCAGAACTCCATTCCCGGCGTACATTTTGGATGCCCGGAGCCAACTGTAGGCCACTTCGTGGTCTTCGAGTTCCCAGAACTCCATTCCCGGGCCACATTTTGGATGCCCGGAGCCAACTGTAGGCCACTTCGTGCTCTTCGACTTCCCAGAACTCCATTCCCGGGCCACATTTTGGATGCCCGGAGCCAACTGTAGGCCACTTCGTGCTCTTCGATTTCCCAGAATACCATTCCCGGGCCACATGTTGGATGCCCGGAGCCAACTGTAGGCCACTTCGTGCTCTTCAAGTTCCC